ATTTCTGAAGAAGAGTCTAGGCCCGAAACGTCAGCTTTCCTGCTCCTCTGATGCTGCTTGGCCTGCTGTGTTCATCCAGCTCTACACCTTGTTATCTCAATGTAGAGGTGTTCATTAAATGGAATTAGCACAATAGAACACACAAAAAAAAAGGCCATTGACCCTGTCTCACTGTTTGTTGGTTGGTGCTAGGTGGACCGATTAAAGAATAAAGGCCTCCTCCTGGAGTTGACAGCCAGGCTGACTGAGGGAGTAGTGAACAATAAGAAACTGAAAATAAAATCCAAGTTCAATTGTCTGCCGCAGCAGAGTGCACTGACTGGAAAAGGCAGAACTGGGAAGAAAGAGTATGGGAATGATGGTCAGACAGCAGTTGAATCTGGGACCATGGATAACGCGTCTATAATGCGTAAGAGAACCCTTACTGCCTGTTCGCAGAGAAACCCCGAATTGCGTCGGGCAGGCATATCTGTTGACCGAACCTCTGGCAGTGATGGCAACACGCAACAATCAGCGAGTCCAGAGACCAAGCAGGAGCAGCAGTTAATTGACCCGTGCAGGAATTTGGGGGGTTTGAAGAATCAGCAAGGGTGGCCTCACTTCAAAGAAGTGTTTATGCTTTCAGCTGTCAACGGAGAGGAAATGGAAACTCTGCAGGTGAGCGAAACCATTTCCAATTGGTCAGTGGCATGATGGGTCCAAAGCATAATTGAAAAGCTAATGAAATATTGGCCTTTAGTTCCCAGAAGATCAGCAATGTGAAGGGGTTAATTTATTATTCGAGTTAAACAAAACTTTGGTTAGAAAACATTTGGTGTAACTGCGTTCAGTCCTGGCACTGTCTCTCAGATATAGGATATGATGGTCTTCGAGTGATGCAGCACAGATTACCAGAATGATACCTGGACTCAAAAGATTAAATTAGAAGGACAGACTGCAGAAAGGGAGTTTAGTGACCTTAAAATACAGTAGATTGATGGATGATTTAATTGACGTTTTCGAAATGATTAAAGGAGTCAGTAGGATAGTTAAAGACCATCTGTTTCCTCATTCCTTTGCTGGTGAGTTCAGAACTTTAAAAGTGAATCCATTTGAAAATCCATTCAGGGTGTATAGGGGATGCTAATAAGTGCTTCAGGGATTATTACATTTATGTGGCATTTTTAGTATCCATAGAAGTCCTAAGGCATTTATCAAATGTTATTAATATAAACAAAATTAGCAGGTTCCAGTAGGAGCTGTTGGAGGAACTGGGGAAGGTCATTGAAGCAAAGTGTCAATAGGTTCAAGAATGTGTGTTTTTACAATCTCAATAAAATCTTGAAATCCTATGCCATGATCTTTTTCCTGTGTTCAGCGGTACCTGATATCAAAGGCCAGGCCAGGATCCTGGGATTATCACAGTGCTGTCCTCACTGACCAGTCACCCCAGGAAATCTGCTGTAACCTGATCCGAGAGCGGTTATTGGAATACCTGCCTCAAGAGGTGCCATACAACATCGTTCAGGTAATTGTGAGTGGTTGGGCTGCACTGGGTAAAATACTGGTTCTTTTCTGGCCTCTCTGGTTTGAATCTGATGACCTCTGGGCAGTGGTACTGAAGTGAGTTTAAGCACTCTCAATCAACGCTGAGTCATTTAGACAAGGCTCCGTCTGTCTCTTCAGGTGGATGACTACGATTCCTTGGCCCCATCGAAGGAGATTTTGGTGTTTTGGCCAACATTCCCCCCACTGATCAGATACATTGGTTGGTCATCTCACAGTTATGAGAGAGAGCTTGGCTACCATGTTTGCTGTTACGCTGTTAGTGCATTCCTGAATGGCTCGCTGTTTGTGAAGTTTTGAACGATATTTCTGCTGATCTATCCCTCTGTTTTTTTTGGATCCCAGCGTGAGTGTATACCTTTTTGGTGCTAATGATCGCACTCACCAAGGGAGATGAGATATTGTCCACTGTTGTGTTAGGAAGTTGTTTTCATGAGTATGAGGATGCTAAAGTTGACCTGAAAGTGCTTGATACCAACGCTGGGTATCTGAATATCTCTCTTTAAAGCGGTTCAGGCAAATTCATTCACGTGGCAGAATTTTATTTTTGTCAGTTGCATACCCCTGGTCCCCTTGCCCCAACACTACCTCTCACCACCTCGTCTTATCTGAGTGGATGATGCTGACCTCGTCTTGGTTGTGATGCCTTCAAACCTGGGGTCAGCGTGGAAACAGGTATCTTGGATAAATCTTATGAGCTGTTTCCATGGGAGAGTTAAATGTAAATCAGGAAAATATGAGTTTGGTGGTGGTGGCAGAAATGGCAGCTAATGATTCTTTGGATGTGGAGGTGGGGTGGTAGGTGAGGACAGGGGTGACCCTATCACTGTTGTGGGAGGGAAGAGCAGGAGGAGAAGTGCGAGAGATGTCAGACCCGGATGAGGGCCCTATCAACCGTGGTGCTAGGGAATCCTCAGTTGAGGAAGAAGGTGAACATTTCTGAGGCTGCAGAAGTTAGCATCATCAGAACAGACATGGTGGAGAAGCTGGGACAAGTGCTAGAGCTGAGCATGGGAGACAATGGCAAAATCTTAACAACAGACACATTAACTGCCTCTTACTCTTTCAGAGCACTGAACTGTGGGAAGAAGGACCAAGTGGGGAACTCCGAATTCTACAGAACATCATTGTCGCCAGAAAGAACCATGTGGTCAGTATCCATGTGGGATAGAAGCTGTTGCTATAATCAGGGACTGGCTGGATTCACAGTGTTGTTCAGTAATGAAAGCACATGTCGTAAGTTCTGCTTATAAAGTAGGTGCTCGCATTTCTGCATCAAGCAGTCACATGTATAGCATTAGCACGGGCAAAGGTCAGAGTGTTACAGTTCCCTTGCCATATGTCCCTTTGAAGTAGGGGTGTCCAAACCACTCCTGTAGCCAACTTGAATTCAACCTAAAGCAGTTCTCTTTGTAACGAAAACAGAAGAAACTCTGGAGAAACTCGACAGGTCTGGCAGCATCTGAGGAGAGAAAGCAGAGTTAACGTTTCAGGTCCAGCGACCCTCCTTCAGAACTGACTGTAGCTAGGAAAAGGTGGTATAGATGCTGAAGATGGGGAGGGAAAATTGGAAATGATAGGTGGAGTTGGAACCCAGGGAGAGAGTTGGGCAGCCAATATAACAGGTAATGATGAGCTGGGGAAAGAGAATAAAGCTGTTAATGCAGACTGTTAATGACTGAAAATGGGTTATGATAACAAGGCCTGGGGTATGGGGGTGGGTAAAGGTAAAGGAGGAAGGTGCTCAGGCTCTAACGTTACTGAACTGACCACTAAGTCCTGAAGGCCGCAAAATTTCCCAAATGGAAAAGGAGATATTGGTCTTCCAACTTGTGCTGAGCTTTGCTGAAAGCCTGAGACAGAGGTGTCAGAGACAGGGAACATGGTGTTGAATTGAAGTGGCAGGCAACAGGAAGCTCAGGGTCATTTTTGCAGATAGAATTTACATGTTCTGCAAAGTGGTCACCCAGTCAGCGTTTCTTTCCCCCCCCAGGTGTAGAGGAGACCCCATAGTGAGCAACAAATACAGTAGACTAGATTGAGTGAAGCACAGGTAAAGCACTGCTTCATCTGGAAGGTGTTTCTGTGGTTTTGGTTAGTGAGGAGGGAGGAAGTAAACAGGCAGGTGTCACACCTTCTGAGAATGCATAGAAAGGTGCAGTGAGGGTATGGAGAAGAGGAATGGACCAATGTGTCCTGGAGGGAACAGTCCTTGCAGAAGGCTGCCAAGGGAGGGAAATATGAGTTTGGTGGCAGAAATGGCAGCTAATGATTCTTTGGATGTGGAGGTGGTGTGGTAGGTGAGGACAGGGGTGACCTTATCACTGTTGTGGGAGGGAAGAGCAGGGGGAGAAGTGCGAGAGATGGGTCAGACCCGGATGAGGGCCCTATCAACTGCAGTGCTCGGGAGTCCTCAGTTGAGGAAGAAGATGAACGTTTCTGAGGCTGCAGACGTTGGCATCATCAGAACAGACGTGATGGAGAAGCTGGGAGAATGGGAGGGAATCTTAACAGAAGGCAGGGTGTGAGGATGTGTAATCAAGGTAACTGGTGAGGTTGGTGGGTTTGTAGTGAATTTCGGTGGCCAGCCTATCCCCAGAAATGGAAACATATGTTTAGGAAGGGAATGGAGGAGCCAGATGGACTAGGTGAAGGTGAGAGCAGGGTGGAAATTGGAAGCAAAATTGATCAATTTTTCCGATTCCGATGAGAGAGGGAAGCAGCACTGATGATGTCATTGATGTACTGCAGAAAGATTTACTAGGAGGAACCTGAGTAGGATTAGAACAAGGAATGTTTTGTGTACCCCACAAAGAGACAGGGATAGCTGGGGCCACCCATCTGACCAGACGAAAGTGAGAGAAATTAAAGGAGAAGGAGAGATAGTAG